ACAACGTTGTCATAACCCCACGAGCAGTGGTCTCTTTCACGATGTTGAAAGCCACACTCTTTGTCAAAGTGCACCTGATGACGGCTAGGGCTTTTCTATCCAAGTCAGCCCATTCTTCATCCTTCATCTTCTCGGGTTTCTGACTTGTCAAACATGGAAGAAGATCTTTCTGACATAGCAAGTCCTCGACTTGCATCTTCCACCATCCAAAATCTTGCCCATCAAACTTCTCTATCCTGATCTTTCCGTCCTCAGACATCATCTCTTCTGAGTATCCCAGATCTGACCAGAGAACACGTGAGAACGGATTGAGACAAACAACCAGAACTGACCTCAAAAATTGCAGCATCAAACTGAACAGCAAGGTTGTTCGGACTCCCCACAGATGACTATCTCGGTGGTCTTCTGATGTGTCGGCAGAAACCCTAGAGTCGCTAGGGTTGGCAGTGGAGGCAGATCTGTGTGTATGACCTAGGCTCGGATACCAGTTGTTAAGAACAAAAGCACACACACGAATATAAAGCAAGAAAGCGATAAAGAACACGAGATTTAACGTGGTTCGGTCTAATCTGACCTACATCCACAGGGGCAACTAGGGTTTGTATTATTGAGTGATAATGATTACAAGTACAGGAGATCATATATATAGACAACTAATTAGGGTTTAGCCCTTGCTGGACAAGTTATAGCAAACTGGGCTTAAAACCATTTGGGCCAGCCGAAACCCTAATCTGGTCTCCTAACTCTCAGTTGTCTACAAGTGGGCCACTTTGGGCCGATGACTACACATCACCAACAGATTTCTGTAAGTTACCTATTCAAATATTGAAGCAGAAAAATGGTTCTATACTTAACGGGAACATCATGGATTCTACAGAAAGAAGAATCACAAAACATTTGGAATTATGTAAGTAGAAAGCTGCAACAACATTTTCATGTGGGATGTAGTGAAAAGAAGACCTCTTCTTTCTTTACTGTAAATGTGAATTCCTGATGTTTTTGACATTAAAATTTTCAGGTTGGAGCAGCATAAGTTTCTGGTCGCCATTCACTTTTCTCAGCACTAAGCATTCCATCTTGTTTTTGATAGAAGGTCATCCTTACCTCCCAATGCAAAGACTTGAGTAAGTTCTCTACTTCCTTTATGGTTCCAGAGTCATCTTGCATTATGAATTTGCCTCCTGGTCTAACTACTCTGTCTACCTCTGCCATCACTGCAGATAACTTGCACCTGCAGATACAGTAAGGGTATTTCTGGATCTCATAGAATGATAAGGTAAGGAGAAAATACGTTAGAAAAGTTATTTTTGTTTGTTTTGTCATTTACTAAAAAATAGTCATGTTTTTGAAAAGTTTACAGATATTCAGGTTTTCCAGTCTTTATGTAATAGAAATATATAAACAAAATGAGTTCAATAAATATAAAGAATATTGTGTTTGAGACATGAGACTTTGAGCCAATGAGACTATAATTATTATTTTCTTTCCGTAATAATTTTCGGGTTCCAAGAAGACTATTATTATTATTATTATTATTATTATTATTATTATTATTATTATTATTATTATTATTATTATTATTATTATGAAAGGGAAATCACTGTTTATTTTGTTTATAGTTTTTTGTACCTTGTTTTCAGCCTTGAGAAGAGATGATCAGCATGGAGGAGGTCATATGTTCTTGGGTATGTGCTGAAGGATTCACACCAGTCATGGTATATTCCAAATAGCCCACGCTCGTATATGATCGGAAGTGTGTCTGGTGAGTCCACATTAACCACATTCATCACCCACACTTTCAAGTCCTTCAGTGCTGCTGCAAATCTGTAAAACAGTAACACATTCTTGAGTATACTTTCGTTTTGTGTCAGAGATATCCCACATAGGCTAAATCTGAGTGCTGGAATCTCCTTTCTATCTTGTTTGGCCAATCCTCTAAACACCGAAGCCCCATTTGGTGGCATTAATGACCTTATTCTATTTCCTTTGCTTATCAATTGCATAAATAGAATACTAACTACGTCCTATAATTAAGTTCCCAGGTTAACTTGTTAACTTGGCACAATTTTTAAGTGAAACTATGTGGTTGTGGTTTATTTACAAGTGAGAGGAAAGATTGTGAACCACAACGTTTGATTTCAAGGAAATGGGGGAAAAAATTTATAAGACGATCTAAAAAAGGAAAGCGAGAAAAAAATGTTAGGACAAGAGTACATAGCTTTGGATGAATTTAATTTTACGAAATGTTTTTTCTTTAAAAAAAATCAACGTATTAACTATTTCACCATAATAACTCTTTTCATGCGAGCACTAAATGTAACATCAGTATTATTTAATGAACTGACTCAACCAAAAAGAAAAATCCTATTTGAAAACTTATTTCTGTACAAAAAGAATGCTCTTTACTCAATGCAAATTTTTTTTATCAAAAGAAGTTTAAAATTGTTAAATTCAGTTAAAACTAGAAACAACATTTAAAAATATAGCTATAGTTGAATATTTCCAATAGTTGAGCATTACTACTTTTAAAGCCTTGTAAGTTTAGTGAAGAAATACTTTTCCTTTCAACTGTTTTAATTTTACAATTAGAAGCAGAATAGTAACTTACCCCCCATAATCTGCTCTCATGTCCATGATGTTCCTAACTTTTGACCAGTTGATGCCCAAACCTCTCATGTATGACTTGCTGATCACATGTTTCCAGTGCTCATAATCTGCTGCAAAGTCATCTGGAGCTGGTTTCCCATATATACCCGTCTGAGATCTGTTTAACCAATACGGCGGCGTTTGGAGTCTCTCGGGCCATTGCTTGGGCCACTTTGATCCCCGGTCTTTGTCATCTGTTGGGACTCTGTGCATGCATGCTTGCAAAGGTACATACCTGACAAGTATATATACATACAATATAACACTGATAATTGAATATGTGATTTATTAATAATTGTGCTTAATTAATAGGATTGGTCGGCCCCAACTTCGGCGTATGCTAAATTAATAATTTCACTAAGTTTATAGGTTAATATTTTCAAAAAGCCTTTATATATTTATGTAGGCCCCACCAATTCCTCCAATTAATAATCTACTAAAATACATAATTTTATTTGGTTCTCTTAGAAAACAAATGTATCTTGATTTATTTTTCAATTGAATGTGAATTCTAGTTTAATTTCATCACTAACTTTTGTACGATGACATGTACTCCGTAGTTTTTCCATTACTTTTCATACTAAAATAATCAGTTCTTCAGTGTAGCTGTGGTTTTTAGTGTTTCATCCAGTGAAGACCCCTCCCCACTTAAATGGTAATTTTGTTTAATTCCTTTTAGGATGTTATGGTTAAGATATATTTGAGTTTCAATTTTCAAACATTATTCTCTTTTGACCTTCTATTTTTGTGTTTGCACAGATATAAAGGAAGTAACAATAATTTCCAAAGTCATGGTTAAAATACTTCAATATGACTAGATTACCCCTATTAATGTTGAAAAGTAGTATGCACTCCCCCTGTCCTAGATTAGTTTTCCCTTTTCCTTTTTGTCAAAAAATATTTTTGGTTCAGGAATTCCGTGTATAGTTTTTACTAACCTTCCAAATTTCCTGATATTAATTATTTGTACGATGGATGCTCCCTAAATGTTTTTCCCTGTAACAGAGAACAGGAAGGAGTGGAAGTGAGATTACCAAGCAGCATTAGGATCATCGTCCTCATCACACATGGGAGGGTTTCTGCTTTTCCTTTGGTCGTAGCAATCGTTGGAGTCTGGTTTGTGATAGATAGCTACACCAACGGAGTTCAACTTGTCCTTTTTTATCCCAACAAGCTCCCAGCACATTGCCACCGTTAGAGTTGACATTTCTGGGATACAGAGTAATGTAAATTAATAATGAGATATATTCAGTCATTTTTCCTCCTAGGAATCAATTTAAGAAGGAAAAAAAGGGCATGGTTGTTTTTTAGAAGTCCCACCCTTCCAAATCATCACATCTTCTTCAAGTTTTTGGTAGACTGGAGTTGCAGACCAGACAAAGTATCCTCCGGGACGAAGCACTCTATTCAATTCCAGAAGTAGAGCCCCACCTTCATGGAAAACATTCAACATATTACAGAGTGTCATCGATTTAGATGAAATCTAAGGTAGACATTGTCCTTTTTGTTGGATCTTTTTAAGTGACATTTTATGTATGAGCCTACACAGATGTTGTGTAATGGTCTCTTGAGTGTTTGCCTCTCCTGTGTTGTTTGCAGGCTTAAAAAATGGTGCAAGGGGAGAGGGTAACGAACCTTCGGCATGCCAAGGGACTCTGCAGCGTGCACAATGGACAATGTCAAAGACTCCGCTGGGGAATGGGAGGCGTTGGGATCCCATAACGGCAGAGATTGCTGGAATCCCCCTTTCAAGTGCAAACTGAATCTGGGCTTCGTGCTCATCTTTAGGGGCGAATGACATGGCGAGGACGTCTCTCTCAAACAGGTAACCCCCAAAGCTGGCCACCCCACACCCCACGTCCAATATCACTCTCGTCCGCTTTCCCCATGCAATCTCTGGAACTGCCTACAGGTACCATATTTTCATTGAATTACATGATCTCATATTTTCATTAAATTACATTATCTCATTTTTGCCCCAAGCTTCTCCCACACTTTCTCACATATTCAGTTTCACAAGCAAAACATTATTTGTGAAACTGTGTTTCTAGTCTTTGAGAGGCCTAGGGTCAAACTTGAGCTCAATTAAGGGTCCCTTTGGGGGGGTGTGACATTGGAAGTCATTTTCAGGTGTTTGGTTTTCCTGGAAAATAGGAGTCAACGGAAAATGATCCTTCTTTGGAGTAAATGATTTCTGTTTTTTTGGGCGGAAGACATTTTCCACCTTATCCTACTTCATTGATGGAAACTCGTCACATTTTATTATGTTATAACAATAACAAACTATTTTTTTAATTTTCTAAACTTTCAACCAAATGCTAGAAAGTGAATTTAATTTCCAGAAATCATTTTCGAGAAGTCATTTTCTAGGAATCAATTTTCGCCTTTCCAAACGGACCCTAACTTCACAGAATCATAGTTTATTTCTTATAGAGTCTATTCATAATATTTGTTTCTTTTGTTTTTGTTAAATACCTGTTGGACAAAATCAATGTAGTGTAAAGCTCCATGGATGAACTGTGTACCACCACCTGGAAAGATTAGGAACTCTCCTGAAACCTTCATCCAATTTTGATGCCCTTTCACTTCCGCCAATAATGTGTGAGGCACATTGTGATACCATATCTGCACCCACCATTTACATTTGTTACACACACACACACACACACACACACACACACACAAGAGTGATGATATATACTACCTTATCTCTGCTTTGAGGCCATTGGATGGGTTTCTTGTACCCTTTGGGCAGAGGGACCAAGCAAGTAGGGGGTTCCTCAGGGCAATGCCTTTCCCTATGTTCAAAATGCCTCCTACTTCTCAGCTTCTTTATGGCTTCCTCATTATCCAAACATGGTATATAATCTGGACCGGCGGTCACATTGCACAACCGCCAACTTATTCCTGCACCGCTATCTCCCTGATCCCCGCTACCACCATCACTCTCCTCTGAGCCGCTGCTCTTTA